TTTTTTTTTTTTTTTTTTTTTTTTGGCATACATGGATGAAAGAAATTAAAGAAAATCAATTACCCATTGCCACCCTTCTCCTACATGGGCTGGGGCGTCAAATTCCGGTATTACCCTAACACCACGAATAAGACCGTATTCAACAATTTCTTTCACATCTTTTTGATTGTAAATCTTGTCAGTTGCATAAGAACCAAATTTGGAAAATTCTGGCCATGTTTTGCTAACATAGGGAAAACTGTGTGAATCTGTAATGTGCCAATGCAAAGTATTTAACTTCGACATAGCCATACCGTCGATCGTTCGCAATATTGATGTCTTGTCAATGAAATTTCGGCTGGTATCCAATAATACGCCACGATAAGGATACACAGGGCCATCAATAATCAATATTTCGCTCGGAATTTGAATCTGATTTCGTAAATCATCGAAAACGATCAACTGGCTTAATGTTTCCAAAGCGTGTCGTATACCGAAATATGATTTCGCTGCGATCGTGACTTCCAACTTCTGTAAAAAAATAAGTATAAGAAAAAAATTGTTGTATTAAATATAGAATTACGTCAGTAATTCAAGTTCGTCAACAAACAAAAATCTAGCGTCTATTCCAAAATGCCAAACTATCCTCGTATAAAGTTATTATCATCTCGTGCGTATGCATATGTATGTATGTGTATGTGTGCATTGTAAAAATAACATTCTCGATTGCTTATATTGAATGCATTTTTTGATCATTGGACAAATGTGACAAAAGTTAGCAAAGAAAATGTTAAAAATAACAGACGAGTGACAATATGTTCGTGTGATTTGATATTCACGTGCATGTATGTAGATTGGTTAGGGCGTGTATTGAGTATTCTTTGTATTCTCAACGTGTGTTTTAGTATAAGTAAGTACATATAAAATTAATGCACATTGCAATACAATGTTGAAAAAAATGCACGTCCTTGTGTGAGTTTTAAATCAGTCTCCACTGAGGCAACGAGTAACTTTCGATCGCCTTTTGTCGTTTTTCAAAATATTTCAATTACAAATACCAACTTAAACTACACGTTCACACTGAATCAACGAGAAACTTTTGTTTCATGTTCTTGAAAAAGTCACATGTAATTCGTGTTTGTAGCGATAAATATCACCGCTTGTTGCCTATTTCCACTTCAATCGGTAAAAGAAAAATAGGAAACTTGCGATAACCCGTGGTAATAGAAACAAATGTTCCTCTAGTATGTATGTACTTAGTAAATGTCGCCTTGAAATCGAAATATTCTTCAAATTATATTGCTTCAATACGAATAGAATGTTTCTACGTTTTTATACAATAATGAAGATATTTCTTGCTTCTTGCTGCTACAGTAAACACCGACTGACGGAAACATTTCATCCACACTGAAGCAACAAAATCTGAAAAACATTTTAGATTTTTCTCAGTTTCAAGGATTCATATGTTAGTAATAAGTCAGTTTGTTCCAAGCTATCAACGTGGCTGAAAAAGATCTGCTTTTTGTAGCTGCAGTATAGTTATGAGCAAAGAAGAAAAATATGAGTTCAGCTAAACTTAAATTGACAAAAATTCAGAGGCATTCATCTTGTGAATACGTTGAAACAAAATTATTTGTTAACAGATTGGTGACTTCTAAAAATTTCGCAAGATGATCAAGTGCAAAGATTATTAGAATATTTAATTCAAAGTGTAAATTTGATGATCAAACGATTACCAAAAAAGTTAGTTAAATTAAGATCTTTATCTATAGGAAACTTATATCATTTACTAATGTACTTATTTAAAATTTCGAAACGAACAATATTCAAAATTATACTTGTGACACAATTGCAAAAATTCTGCAGTACGCTACAATGCATTCTACAAATGTCGAGCGACAAAGGGGAACATTTGTTCTGTTGCCACGAATGGCAAACATGCGACAGCATTTGTTCTTTTTACCAGTTGGAATTTGCTTCTTGCAACTTTGGCACGAAATTTGTCATTGGAAACAGAAACAGTGATATTTTCAAGATACATGCGACATCAATAAAAAGTTGCTCGTTGTTGCCTCAATGGAGATATAATATGCAGTACAGTGAATTCTGACGCACTCAATATAATATAAAAAGGCTGTAACATTTGATAAAATGTCTATCATAACATTCAACATGTAATAGTTATTTTTTAAAAAAAAGTTACCTTATTTTTTAAAAAAAAGTTCACTTTTGAAATTCTTACTTTTAAGTGAAAGAAAGCAAGTAAATTATTAATATACTATATTATTTACTTTAAAAAAAACTCAGATGATTTCATACACTATTTGAAGAAAAAATCAATTTGATAAATTCCGAGTATTTTAAAATGATATAGTACACACGTAACTGACCAACAATCGGGACCGAAACTGGTCAATTAAGCGTGGAGGTGTATTCCAGAAATTGACATCGAAAGAAAGAGGAAGAATAAGCTTGTTCAGTGTGTGCGAGTGTTATGTTTCACGCGGCCGCACGGTAAAGTAGCGTAAAGTTGGGATCGTCCCAATTCTAAAAATTAGTGGGAATAAGGGCTGGTCAGTTACGAGTGGCGAAGTGTAGTCAATTATGTATGGAGTTTACTGTATATTGTATCTAATTTTCGTTCATGTACTTCAGCAAAAGAAATATGATAAATATGAGTATTATATTATAATAACACATTGTATATATTGTATATTATTATTATTACTGTTGTATATTACAATATATTGCACATATTAAAATACATTATTATATCATATTATATTATCGAAACATTCAGCATTACCATACAAAGAAATAGAATTCGCAATCAATGTGTTTTGAGTCAACTTTTGACAAATTCTGTAGCATACGAATTAATTTATTGAATTATTCTGAAATTGATATATTTATTAGAATATTTTTATTAACAAGTAAATGCAATAGGATTCCGTATAATGCGGATATATTAATTAGTATCATAATATATTAATTAGTATCAGATCCTCCTGTAACACAATTTGTAAAATTACGTAAGAAGATCTTTTAGATATTAATTCTTTTTTTCAACAATGATATAACTCATATTTGAAAGTTCACATTTGCTTTTAAAACTGTTTTTTCAAACAAGCTGTCGTAGGCATCATCCGATATCCGATCTTTGCTTATACCTTTTAACGTTTCGAAATCGCATGATTTCAATCGACACAATGAAAACAACGAGAAACAATTAAAACGATTGATTTTGTATCTATTTTTAATGTACTGCACATTATTATTAATGTATGAAAATTTTACTTATAAATAATGAGCAATAAATAATATTTAACTAATTTAGTTAATATTTAATTAATTAATTTTTAAATAAAAAGTAACTTTACATTCAAGTAGTTGTTCAAATAAAAATTTTTTTAAATAATATTCAACACTGTATTGTATGACTCAAAAATTATAATTTGTGCATTAACTTTTATACAACTGAGCCGTTTGTTTTAAAAGTGGCCTAAAAATGGTCCATTTTCCAAAAAATCAAACTAGCTGTTTTAATATTTACATTTCTACGTTATGTTTTCACTTTTAAACAAATTGTAACTAATATATTTAAAATCACTAGAGTGATTTGTAACTAATATATTTAAAATCACAAGATTTTTTTTGTACACAAAAAATTAGTTGGTTAATAAAATGATAAAAATTTTAATTCTGAAAGTGGCTTAAGTCCCATTTTAATAATTATGAGGTAACTGATATAAAGTATGGTATGAAGTATATTATATCCTTCAGGAATATTACAAAGTCATAAAAAGGTGTCGAAAAAATAACTTCATTCTAAATGAAATGATAGATTGAAAATGAGAGAATTTCATTTCAACTAAACTTCCAGAGGACGCAGTTTTTAGAAGATTAAAAAGTACTAATGAAAGGATAAATTGGTTAAAAATATATTGGATGCGATTTTTGAGAACTGAACCATATAAAATATTCTATAAAACATCAATGAGAATACACTATTCAATTCTGGATTTATTACCAAGAAACTTTAATAATATTGAATTGACACTACTGTACAAAAATGTTGAATTGTAACCAATTGCAATACTAAAATGAAACGATATAATGGATTTATTACTCTATAATTATTTTAAATCCCTCTCGCATACGCAAACTGGGGAAGAATGAATTATAAATTACGAAATATTATTTGAATGTAACATTTCTTTAATAGCATAAGATATAAAAGTTGGATATATATTTTTTAATTTTATAACACAATGTTTCTAATAGGGTTGGTAAATTATACACCCTTAAAACACAAAAGCATTATATTACTATGTTATTAGTTACTAATATTTTTAAATTTATTAAAACGTAAACCGTTTAATATTTTAATTCAAAAATAAATGGCTTGAGCCACTTTCAAAATAAATAAACGGCTCGATTAGGATCTTTGTCCACTGGATGTGATACTATTATGCGATAGTTATTACAGGAAATTAATTGTGTTATTTCAAAAAGGATTTATTTTAGTTTTTATATCATGAATTTACAATGCAGAATATACATATATAAATCACCCACGTTAGAAGAGATTCCACTGCATTAACTATCTAATTAACTATGATTACATGCAACAATAAAGAAAAAAACTTTCTATAAAAGAATTACCAAGCTCACCGTTTTATCCATTTGCATTACAGTTAAATTGTAGCTTTCATCTGTGTGCAAAGTCAATTTAATGTTATTCATTTCGAGATAGCCCTTACATCGAATAAGCATTTCCATTCCGCCAGCATTTGCTAATTTACCACCAACTTTTTTCACGATATTCTTCAATAAAACTATATTTCTTTCAAGAAGATATTTAATTTGAGTTCCAGATTGTACATCATCTAACATAATTTTGTCCGGATCAAATTGGACCATATATTTGCTCAAAGATAGATGACCAGTTGGTTTTGGCCACAGAGAACTGGATGCATCACAAAACAATTCACATACTTCCAACGAAGTAGGATTAGTCACTTCCTTTGTGATGAATTCCTTCTTACACAAGCCACCCTTGCATTCATAATGCCATGGTGAACTGTGATCAAAATTAATTAATTTTTTCTTTCCTTTCCTTTTTCCTTCTTTATATATATATATCCTTCTTTATATATTTTTTTATGAAAAAAAATTGAATAATGCAAGACAAAATAGAAAAGGAGATATATATTCATGTGTAAAAATACACAGTAGCGGGCAAAAATTAAAATTACTTTCTTGATAGATTATTACACTATATAATGAATATTAACTAATAAATATGTAATTCATAACTTACTATTACATGTACACTCACACTACATTTTTGACCACTCCTACAATATTTAATAGTTCCATAATCTATAACCTTCTAAAAATATATATAAAGAAATAATCTATGTATTTACTGTCAATGAAAAATTTATAAGAAATAATTGAACATTTAATGCTTCGAATAAATTGAACTACAATATAATTCAATTAATATAACTAGATTACAAATTTTTATGCATTTATAAAAAATTGAAAGATATAAAAACTCACAGAATGCATATAATACTATTATATTATACTATTATATACTATTAATATTAAATATTAATATTCAATATTAATATTCAAAGCAGAATGCTGGTTATAATTTTTAATAAGTGAAATAAATTTCTACATTTTCATTTATGAAAATATGAAACTATTTGTATAAACTATATAAAAATCGGCAGCTTAAATGTAAATCAAATTTATTCTAACAATATATAATATTTAATATATATATTTAATATATATAATATTTAAATAAATAAAGCTAGCAGTACGGTCAGAAAAAAGAGAGAAAGAGAGAGAGAAAGAGAAAAGAAGTGCTTCCAAGAAAAAATATTTTTGCTAAAATAACAGATTGAAATTTTTGAAACAGATTTGAAAACAGAAAATTGAAAACAGATTTTAGACAGATTATATAAACAAAGATGATAAAATTTAAATAAAAAATTGAATTCTATTACAACAGACTGAAAACAGATCCTAAAAAATTATAATAAAAATAAATTATCGCATTCAAAGATATCTCAGACTGCTGATAAACTATAACATAATCTATAACATTAGTGTACAGATAGTTTGGAGACAACTCAGTGATATTATAATACGATAATCTATAAAAAACGTCTTAAACTTTTGTCCCCTACTGTATATATGTATGTAACAAAGATTAACAATTATAATAACGTGAATAACTCTTGAACTATTTAGAAAATTAATACGATCTAAAATATTGATACATATTTTTGTGTTCGATTTTATATAATTTTTTATTTGCTATTATCCACGATCTACGATATAGATGAGTAGATGCCACGTATCGCGTACCTGTTGCTTTCACTATACAAGTTAAAATGAGACAAATCTCTCTCTCCTTCTTCACCTATCTTAATTTCGATTTTCAACAAAGAGTGATTGCATTGAATTATGATTCTTCAACTTTTGTGTATTAATTCTACGTATTTCTTTATTCTATTTATATTATACATAATTATCAACTTATTCATATATTACAAATAATAATTGTAAATTAATATAAATTAGTAACTATAAACAATAAAAAGAAGACAGTAACTACAAATTGGTATAAAAAAGAAAATTATAGTGTTTAAGAATTTTATAATTTATAAAATACTTAAATGACTTAAAAACTACATTCTTTTATATACTATAATCTCTGTATTAATAAAGATTGATTAATAAAGTTGATCAAAAGAAGTAAATTATTTGAAAATTTTATCCAATAAATATAGAGACTGTAAGACTCACCTATATGATTTTTGAATATTGTCACTCGTACTAACTTTTGCAACAAATACGATAAACAATAAAACGATCATAATAATACTTTGTATACTTTATTCGTGCAGATTCGTCTTTCAAATGACTGAATACGCTTTCATTTAAGCGATTTTATCCGCTTCGGGTTATAAACTAAATCCACTTTGATTGGACAAAAGATCATGAAGTGGGGTATCGATATTACGGCGTAATAAATTCTCCAAACTCATTTAATGAAAAAAAAGTTAATAACATTTAACTTTAATTTAAATTATAATCTAATTTGTTCAATAATTTTTTAAAAAATATTTAAAGACATCATGATTTAATGTTTCATTGATATAATCATCATTTAAATCGATTATTGACAATAAGTTATTTTAAAATTGATATCTCATCATAAGATTGCGGATTTCTATGGAAATTCATATTTTTGCGAAAGTATTTTGAAAAATAGAATTTAAATAGAGGTTCTTTAATTAAATATTCTCACAGATATATTTTTGACGTTCTATATGCTTTTATGTTTCTACATTGTATTTTTAAACTTTTTATAAATGCATAAAAATCCACATTCTATTTATTACATACAACTGTTACAATTATGTTCTAATAATATTCATAAAATGTTTCATAAAAATATAATCTATTAGGTATTTTTCTTTAATAAATATTTATTGTACAAGTAATTAGGATATAGTAAAAAAATTAACAACAAAACATTGTCGTCCTGTATGATCCACCTTTGGTTCATTCATCACCACGTATAGCTCTATATTTAGCCAACTCGTGTGGAAAAACTCTAGTTAATTCTACAAGCATGTTTGCTTTAAATTTTCTATAAGCATCAATCTTTCCTTTTACTTGTTCATTTTTAGTTAATGCTTTTTCTATGCAATCCTTGGTATACAATTGTGGATTTCTTCCTTGATCAATGTAACTAAAATCATATAAATATGATAATCATATAAACATGAAAATCATACAGATATAATAAATCCTTTGTTATGAATAGACTACAGATTTTTATGCATTTATAAATTTTAATATAAAATATAAATTATATTAAGTTATATAAATTTAATATAAAATATAACTGAAGAAATAGGATTTAAATAAAATTTATCTTATAATGTGTACTTTAAAGAATTTAGATATATTTATTATATACATCTTTGCAATGTTCATAAATGCATAAAATAAATGTACAATCTAGCTGAGATAATTAAATTTGTTCTGATAGTTACTCAAAAACTTCCAAAGGTACATGAACATCTTGAACTTGAGACTTAAGCTTATCTATTTCTTGCAAACCATTTACTAAACCTTGACTGAAACATAAAAGTATAAAAATAAGGAAATTTATGTTGCAGCATATACATACTTGGAACAATATATGTATACTAATACTGACTTAAATTTTTACACTTTTAATATAAAATTTTTTTACAAATAATAAAACTTTCAAATGATTTATCTTTTTTCCAATTATTAAATATATTTATTTGGTTAATCTAACGATATTGAATATCTAACGAAAAGAATAATAAAAGACTATTATATGTATAATACTCACATTTTTTGATTCAGTACATTTTGTCCTTGTGGTTGAAAATCACTTACTATAATACGTATTTGCCTAACATTTTCAATAAAAAGCTCCAATTGAGTTTCCAAATTTTCTAACGCAGACGCCATATTTCATACTTCTTGTACATCTATACTTCGTCTGTAATGAATATTAATATTACCTGTTCTGTCAGTAAGCAGATGCAAGTATGCCAACACCAGTGCTGCCAATCGTTCTTAGTTTTTAATAAACACTAATTTGTTTTCCCTCTATTATTCTTTATTTTATTACGTTATTTTCTATTATATATTGGTGTTCTCGTATAGATATATACAAACATATATCACATAAGCATATGAGTATGCGCATGCGCATATTGTATTTTTATGCATTGAGTATACGTATATATAAAAATAGAAATCTGTCATACACAAATTGTACTGTGAATTTTAATCACAGTTGCTTGCATCTTATTACGTGCATAATATATATATACATATATACACAACTACAAAATTGAGTTTCAAATTGTACAAGGATAAGTTTCATAGTTTTCAAATCTTTGTTAAATAACATTACTACATAAAAAAAATTTTAAAAATAAAAGATTGAAAGGATAACATACAAATAAATAAATAAATAATGAAAAAAATAATTTAGTTAAATTTATTTTATAATCGATGACTATTTAATAAAGCTAGTTATTGTAATAATTCTACGTTATTGTATATACGTATATAAAATACTAAAATATATTTTTATTTTTAGAATAACATGACACTAAAACACATAGTTATAGGCAAGTTTATTCTTTCATTCAACAAACTTAAGATAAATTTTCGAAATCACATCAATTAATAGGTTGCACTATGGTTGAGATTATGTAATTCTCCCAGGTGGTGGTACAGGTTTTATTGGGACACAAATAGTAAATTTGTTATCTCATAAAGGTTTTTCTTATACATGTATTTCTCGTATGCCTGGCCCTAATCGAATTTCATGGGTAAGACAAATTAAATAATACAATTATGCTATATAATATTACTAATTTCATATTGTAATAAAAAATTTATAGCATGATTTGGAATGTTATGGTTTACCTGAAAATACAACTGCTGTAATTAATGTTGCTGGTCAGAACATACTTGATCCAAAACAACGATGGTCAGAAGGATTTAAACAAAATGTTATAAATAGCCGAGTAGAAACAACAAAATCTTTAGCCAAAGCTATAATATATACAAAAGCTAATGCTTTTGTAACAATCTCTGGAGTGTCTTATTATAAACCAAATGACAAAGAATATACTGAAGAAAGTAAATGTGAAAAATATGATTTTCTATCAGGTAAATCTTTAATTTAGTGTACGTTAGAAATTATTTTAATACATTAATATTTGTACATTAGAAATTATTTTAATATAGTAATTACATTGTTTCAAATTGTATCAGAGCTCTGTCATGAATGGGAAGCAGCTGCGCAACTTCCAAAAGATAGTAATATCAGACAGATCACAATTAGGTCAGGAGTTGTATTGGGAAAAACTGGTGGTATGATTAAACAAATATATTTGCCATTTTTCTTTGGCTTGGGTGGTCCTATTGCTAATGGAAATCAATATATGCCATGGATACATATATCAGATTTAGTAAATTTATTTTTATTTTCAATTGAAAACAAAACTGTGCATGGTATATTGAATGGTGTTGCCCCACAGGTAATTGAGATTAATTGAAATTTCAACAAGTATAAATTAAATATATACAATTAGTAAGTGAGTTATTTATAGATTATAACAAATAAAGAATTTACTAAGGCATTTGCATCTGTGATGCAAAGGCCTGCATTTATTCCTGTACCACGCATTTTTTTGAATAGCATTTTCAATAAAGAACGTGCGAAGGTTAGTACACAATATATATTTTGTTATATTCTGTTGCAATTAATGATTATATCAATTTGGTTTTAGATTATGTTAGAAGGACAGAAAGTTATTCCTAAACGTGTCAAAGAATTAGGATTTCAATACCAATATGTTGATATTAATTGTGCTTGTGCTGAAGTAATTGGCAAAAATAAATAATTATAAATTAAGAGTAAAGGATTAAATGAAATAATATATATTTATATTTTAAAATTAATATTGATTCTTGATTGCATTAATTTTTATAATATATTAATTTATGTATATTTATGATCATATATCATGTATAAAAAACAATAATTTATTTCTTAATTTTCCAATTTTTTTTTTTTTGTGTAAAATTGCCTATATTGAATTTTTTCTCTTTTTCTAACGAGGAAAGAAATTAATAGTAATGGAAATCCTAATACATTTATTAACATAGAGTTTCATTTATTTCGTATCTTCCAAACATGTATATTCAAAACATTTTATTTATATCAAATAAAATTATAATTAAATTTTACATTAAGTATCAGATATATTATAAATTTTAACTTATTACAAACGTGAATTTTTGTATCATTAAAACTATAATTTAAAATTTCGAAGAATTTTATAGTATATTTATTGAAGTATTTCCATAATAAATATATATATTTCCGCGATAAGTGACATTACATTTTACAAATAAAACTATTTTACGAGTTTTGAAACTTTAATAATGTTTTCGAACAAACGGTTCATTTTTGATCCATAATTCCGCTTTAATTTCACCTTGAAGTTCAAGATCAAGATCAATTTTGCAGCAAGATTTTCGTATTGTCACCAAATTCAGCATGTAAATTCACGTTGTACAAATCATGATATACAATTTCGTTTATCTTATATATAATTAGTGAGATCATTATGTCAAGTCTCACAATCAAACGAAGGTTTCTGGTAATTAAAGAGTGCCAGTGCTTAACGCCTGGACGACGCGAAAAGAAAGAATCGTATTGGAAGAGAAATTTGGATAGAAAGGAATGTTGCGTTTCATCTTGAAGTTGCCAACTAAACATCAGTAGGAACTTAATGGTGGCGACCCTTGGAGTAGAGAATTCGAAATGGGCATCAAAACAGTCACTCGTTCTGTAAAACAGAGGTGGTGAACTGTCGGCTCAAGAATCAGTCATGTTTTTACTTTTTTGATCAATAAGGCGATCCTTTCCACTTTAACAATAAGTTAAAGAAAGGAAAAGTTGCTTGCATGGCTCGCTGTGGTGGAAAAGTATGCGCAAAATAGAAATTAATTTCCATGATGAAGAAAATTAGCAAATTGAGTGAACAGCTCATGGCGTGGAAGAAGTTCGCCATCTCAGTTCGCCTAGAGCAAATAGAAATCGAGAGCAACGCTACTTAAATCGCTGTAATCATCTTCGATCTATAGATTGACCGTAGCTACAGTGATCGTTAAAACTTATAGATATTGAACTCGTTGATGTAAAATGATGTACACTATCGGGACACGATCCCAAATAGAAGCATGGTCATTGCATCATGATAGCAGAAAGAGAAAGAGACAGAGAGAGAGAGAGAGAGAGAAATTAGAAATTAGAAATTAGAAATTGGAATGAGACGTGAAAACTTGAACGATTAGTAACCAAAAAACGTCAAATAATAAGACGTCAAACCAAACGTAACAATTAATAACAACGAATTGGAATTAAATTTTTTCTAATGGTGCGTTTACACCAAACGAACGAATGCTCGTTCACTTCTCATTCCGACTGGGATATATTTGTGCTTGTATTCATACTGTTCTGTTCATTGAACGAGTGTGGTGTCATAAATGAGCGCAAATTTGTGGAGTGGGGGATCAACGGAGCATTCGTTCGTTTGGTGTAAACGCACAGTGAGAATACTTCGTAGAGTGTAAGAGTCGAAAGAAAATACGAAGAGAGAAGCAAGTTAAAATTGTATTCAATATTCTATGCAACGTTTAGTTTTCGAATGTATAAAAGTAAGGATAAATATCTAAGGAAGCAAGAAAATTATATCCATAAGTTTTAAGTTTATTTTGATGCATTCACATACATGTTGGATAATTCATATATAAAATTTTCAAAGACTCGGATTTACTTCCATGCATTTACTCAACAGTTGCTTAATTATATTTTCTGAAAATTGGACAATTTTCTACAACTAAAAGATGACCAAATATCAACTAGTATCACAGGAAATTTCCAGTGATAATCATCGTTTTTACCACTGCTTTTACGAGGTTAGGATTGACCGACGCAATTATATTTGCTTTATCTTTATCGATATTTCTTTAAATGTTTTATAATATTTAAAAACGTATATATGTATACAATGTAATTTCACACTGATCTATGCAGAATTAAATCTAATTCATGTATTCAATATATTTTTATTTACATTGATTGAGTTAACAATAATGAGTTAATAGTAACAATCTCAATATAAATAATATAAAAATTGAAAGCAATATTTTGAAGGTATATATATGTATACAATATAATTTTACATTGATCTACAGAAAATGAAATTTAATTCAAATATTTAATATGTTTTTATTTATGTTGATTAATTTAATAATTAATAATGAATTAATAGTAACAATCTTAATATAAATAATATAAAAATTGAAAGCAATATATTAATAAAATGAATACGTGTGAAGAAAAGATATTATGTTATTTTAACTTTATATAATTTATATATTTTGTATATTTTCTACAATTAATATTAATAATTTACAAATTGCTACAGATTTGTACCGACTTTTTGTTAAATAGGAATCATCATGAATGCCAGAACTCAATTATTTGAATTAAGTATGGAGGGCAGACAAGTGGATGAAGCAGTAGCAAGTATCTTCCATAGTGTTCTTTTTTATCGAAGTCTTGGTAAATTTAAATACAAACAAGAAGGTAGTTACTCAGTGGGCACTGTCGGATATCAGGATGTTGATTGTGATTTTATTGATTTTACTTATGTCTGTTGCTCATCGGTGCACCTGGATCAAACTTTGAAACGTGAAATCTCAGGTTTTTCTGAAGCTTTACGTTCCACTGATAGTCCGGGTTCTGGCCAAATATCCTTGGAATTCTTTCAGAAGAAGAAAAATCGTTGGCCTTTTCAACCAGAATGCATACCATGGGAAGTATGGACAGTACGCTTGGAACTTATAAAATTAGCAACAGAACATGAACGTCAGATATGTAGAGAAAAGGTTGGAGATTTATTAACAGACAAAATTCTTTACATAACAGAAGTAATGAATCGACATGACTATCTACCTAAAATGCCAAATCAAGCTGAACTGGATTTGATCTTTGATACATCATATCCTGATATACAACCTTATTTGTTTAAATTATCATTTACAACCTCTAGCCCATCAAGTACAACAATGGGTAATACAATGAAAAAATTGATCAAAGAAACGTTATCTATTTAGTTGTGTTAGTCTTTATCAGATTTTTTAAATGTAATGTATATATAATCCAAATTCAATTTTTGGGTAAAATAACATTTTCTTTTTCAAATTCTATTCTTTGTATTAAATTCTATTCTTTTCTTTGTATTAAATTATTTGCAATCAAATTTATGTACATCAATTTATATACTTTCATATATTCTTTTATTTTGTTTTACTTATAATTTACCACGTTGTACGTTTTTATATATATTGACTTGCATAGAGGACTTAAAGCCTAGAAGAATAAACAGAGTTAATTGTATGCAATATTTGAAATAAAGTGGGACAGAGAGTCAAATCCCATACATTGAATGCCATTTCTGACCGATGTCTACGCAAATTCTGTGCCGACAATATTTGTCAGAAAGAAAACAGGGGGGAAAATATATGTATATTGTAATTGTATAAATCTAAAATATTTGTAAAATTTCTATAGTACAAAGAAAAATTGTGTATAGCAGTTACTTTTTTGAGTATATACTATTCCAGAAATATCGTCCATTGCATAAGTCTTCTAAGTAATCAGTAGATTGTGGATTTTTATGCATTTATGCAAAATTTAAAAATTTAATAATGCATAGAATGCACAGTACAAAAATATGAACTATTCAATGTATATTACTTATAAAATTTAATAGCAAAAACAAATCTTAATTTTTTTAATTATGTTCAGAAAAACATGAATTTGCATAAAAATTCACAGTTCAGTAATAAGTTATAGATAAATTGATATTTAAATATTTGATCATTTTCTTTATCATTTTAAATTCTAATTTTGGACTCTTCTAATTCTAATGACAGAAATTGTTAATAGAGTGAAATATAAATATTTCTTGTTTTATTTTTCTGTAAAATTTTTTCAAGATACATGACGATTATAAGGGAATAGAGTAGTGTAATATGTTTATTTAACAAATTAAGATTTAAAAATTAATAAATTTGTTCTAACATATAATGCTGTTTTCTCTCTCTCTCTCTTTCTCTCTCTCTCTCTCTCTC